TGTAACTAACATTGTAAACTAAGTTAATCTAACTTAATCTTATTAAATTATTCAATTTTATTAAAGTTACGCAAGAAGTTTTAAGTCAGTTTAACATAAATTCAATGGACTCATACGATTAATTTGATTCAGCTTAAAAATTTTGTAACATAGTAACAGAATCCAATGTTGAAATAATTGTAGGATTCTAATTTTTGTGTGGAAAATCACATTTTAGTTGAGACGAGAATTAGATTATTCACTTTAGCGAGAGCACCATACTAGTTTTCTATATGTCTGAAAGGTTTGTGTGGGTATATGAAACACTATCTACTGGAACATACAGTTCAATCTGGCATAAAGAGCTTTCTATCCTTTCAGAAGGAAGGTCAAGGCAGGTGGCCTTCAGCAATACAGAGCCTCAGACGCAGCAGCCGCAAACTAAAACCTATTTTATAGTTGGATCATTATAAGAGGTGCTATGGTTTTCTATATGCAAATGGAAAAATTGCTGTTACTTTATAGTTTTGCCATTTTCATATTGTTGGAAATTAACAGGCTTGTTCCAGACATGCCATAAAGAATAATATATTAAAGAAAAAACATGCTTGATCTATTAGCTGTCACAATTAAAGTGACAATTAGTAAAACATGTTAGTACATATTTATTTTTACACGTTGTTGTTGTTTTATTTTATTTATTTATTTATTTTTTGCCGCACTGAGTATTTTTACCAATCACACACATATCTGTTTAAAAGCTTATGAATGCACCAATGTCCAATCACTCATTTAGACTAATAACTACTAAATGGCAGAGTTTTAAAGTTAACAATTTACAACATAAGAAATTTACTTCACAGCTTTAATGCTGTTTGAATTATACCCAGTATTATCATAGAGTATTAAACTGGAAGGGCCCTATCATACACCGGCGCAGTGTGGCGCAAGGCGCGGCGCAATAGTCTTTTGGTAGTTTCAGCTTGGCGCAAGAGTCGTTTTGAGGTGTTGCGCTACGCTGTTTAAATAGCAAATGCAGTAGCGCTCATTTGTGCGCCCATAGGCGTTCTGGTCTAAAAAGGAAAACGTTCTGCGGCACTGCTGGCGCGTTGCTATTTTGAGAAACTATAATAGATTTTTCATTAAACCAAAACTAACCCGGTCTAAACTCCGGCGCAGAGTTGCGCCTCGCTTACGCACTGCTTAATACGCACAAGAGAGCAATAGGCAAATATCTTTACATATGAAAAAAAAATTTAATATTAAGGATATATATAGGATATAAGAAGAATAGATATAGGATATAAATATAGAGGATTAAAATATTACAAAACATTATTTTCTAGCCTACATAAATATGAAAAATCACTGCTTTATGTCTTCATCTCGGGAGGCTTTTTCAGTTCATTCATAACAATTTGCTTTTGTATAATGTTATTATTATTAGCAATATTATTTATTATATCCATATTTATATTTGTTTTATTAAAAACAAGCTTAGATTTGCCCACCTGTCAGGTTTTAGACCATATGGGGCACAGCATGTGTTTTAGGATATAACTCAGGTTTTTGAGCACATTTTGTTATTATTATTCATTTATTTGTTTGCTGGAAATTAGAACTGAATTTAGAAATAGTTCTGAAACGAATATTTGTGCTTAACAAACAAAAGTATTTATTTATAGACTAATTGATGTTTGTGCGTAAAGGTTTCCCTATCCAAGAGCGAAAGTGAAAGTAGTTTCATTATCTCTCATTCTCAGCAGATGCTCTGTTTAACAGTTTTCTGTTAAAAAACTGTGAACTGTAAACTGTTTGCTTGTGAAATGCTAATTTTTTCCACGTAGACTTACTTTGCGTCCTGTAAATAGCGAATGCGCTCTTGGCGCGACGCAGCTGGCTCTTAAAGGTAATAGGAGATGAGACTCTAATTGGTTTATTCTCAAAACACACCTATAACTCATTAAGAAAATAAACTCAACCCTTTTAGACCACGGCGCAAGGCAGATTTCCCGTCCTTAAATTAGCAAAAACGCGTCCTGACACGCTCTGAAAGCGTTTGCGCCCTGCGTTTTGCGCTTTGCGCATGGACCGTCAAAATAGAGCCCGAAATGTGGTTTTTAAAAAGATCTCGAAACTCTTCTGATTGTACCCAGAATAGCGAAGTCTACTAAAGAAGGTCAAGCCTTCTCATTTATGGCTCTTAAACTCTGGAATAGCCTTCCTGAAAATGTCTGAGGCTCAGAAACTAACTAACTAACTCTCTCTCTCTCTCTCTCTCTCTCTCTTAGTTCAAAGGATTAAAGAATTATCATTTTAGTAAAGCATACACACAATGCATCACATAACAGTATGATGCATTAGTGTGCTCAACGCTGGTGAGTAGACTTGACAAACCACCTGTAGGACACACTCCGCCTGTCTTAATGCACCAGACATTTTGCTAGAACTACTCTTATGCTTCACATGTTTGTTTCTGTTTGGTTACATAACTACTATTTTCATTTACAGCACTTCATTGTTGCATTGATATTTAATATCTCGTGTTTAAATACACTATAAACAGCAGCTACGCTATTTTTTTCTTTGTTCTCTATTTTCACCTGGGGATACTCCTCCCGAGGCCTTTAGAGATTGTGCTGCGCCATTGATGAGATCCAAGACCTGTTAAGAGATGATGCCATGGTCTCCATAATCCTGGACTAGGCCATATCCTAAGCATATGCTGTGGCGGTCATGGAGGAGTGGAAAGCATGAGACTGATTCCTGAAAGACCCCAGTGACAGATGAGTCTCTGTATTGATTCCATGGACAGCCTAAATACCTGCCGGGGACCTACTCACACCTGCAACTTCTCAACAGTGGATGTCCAGCATCTTCCAGCCCCTGGCACCTAGACTGCAACTCTACACAAGTAGTTTGCCCAGAGGATAAATGGTCATGCCTAACTGAGCCTGGTTTCTTGGTAAAGTTTTGTTCCTCGCCACTGTCGCCACTGGCTTGTGGAGCTGCGCATCGATAGATTTACTCTTCAGTGTTTGGACTTTACACAGTGAAATGTAAACCACACAAAACTGAACTGAACCTCAACTCTGAAAACTGGACCTACACAGTTTCTGTTTACTAGAACTTCAATGTTAAGCTGCTTTGACACAATCTACATTGTAAAAGCGCTATAGAAATAAAGATTAATTGAACTGAATTTTAAATCATGGACTGGCATGTTTTGTTTGCAGATGCCAACAATGACATATTTCCAAAGTCAAAAAACGTTTTTTCTTATTAATTGACATGATTAATCGTTATTACAACATCAATATCAATGATCAACAATAATGATTGATGATCCCAACCCTGTAATGAGTTCCTGGTTTTTAAATGTATTTTATTTGTTGGTAACCATTTATAGCATTGACTCAAGCAACTATTCTTTTTAAAATAAATCTTTTTTTTAAGCTCACCCAAACTGAAAATTGTGTCATAAGTTTCTCTCCTTTGCTCATCACAAACCTGTTTGTGTTTCTATTTTCTGTTTTACACACAAAAACATTGAAACCAGTAGCATTGACGTCCGTTTTCCCATATACTCAAAAATATTTTCACAGCTTGTTCAAACTACTTCTTTAATATGAGCTAAATCAACACAACTGCTGAGGTGTTTTTTGACAGCTTAATAGTTTTATTTTCAATCCATTGTAACTAGTAAAAACATTTACAGTTGAAACCAGAAGTTTACATACACTGTATAATAAGGCACATAACAATTAAAAAAAAAAAGTCAAATGTTAATGTGACCAAGCTTTTTCTTTTTTAGGTAGGGTAGGATTATCACATTTGTTTCTGTTATACTTAATAGCAGAATAATGAGAGATAATTTTTTGAGAAATTATTGTAACTTTTCTTGAAAGTCAAGTTTACATACAATAAGATTATTATGCCTTTGAAAAAGCTCAGATGATGGTGTCAAGGTTTTGGAAGTTTCTGATTGGCTAATTGACAACATTTGAGTTAATTGGAAGCTGTTGAATAGTATTCAAGAAAAACCTCAAACACACTGCTTCCTTGTGTGACAACATGGGACAATAAACAAGCCAGAATCAACAAAAAAGCCAGATTACAGTTTGCTAAATTACACTGGGTAAAAGACAAATTTTTGGAGACATGTCCTGTGGTCTGATAGAACTAAGATTGAACTGTTTCGCCATAATGACCAGTGCTACATTTGGAGGATGAAAGGGAAAGTTTACAAGCCTCGGAACATCATCTCTACTGTGAAGTATGGGGCTGGCAGCATCATGTTGTTGGGCTGTTTTGCTGCAGGAGGGACTGGTCCACTTCACAGCATAGATGGCATCATGATGAAAGCATTTTGTGGAAATACTGAAGCAACATCTCAAGACATCAGCAAGGAAATTAAAACTTGGCCACAAATGGGTCTTCCAAACATATCATGACCCTGAGCATGCTGCCAAATTAGTTAAAATGTACTTTAAGGACAACAGAGTGAATGTTTTGGAGTGGCCATCACAAAGCCCTGAGCTCAATCCTATAGAAAATTTGTGGGCAGAGTTGAAAAAGCTTGTGCGAGCAAAACAGCCAACAAATTTGACTTAGTTACACCAATTCCGTCAGGAGGAATGAGCCAAAATTCGTTCAAACTATTGTGAGAAGCTTGTGGAAGGATACCCAAAACATTTGACCAAAGTTATACAGTTTAAAATCAAAGCTAAAAAATTCTTATGGTAATTTTTTTGTATTGTATTATAATTGTATTGCACGATTATAAAGTGATTTTGCCCATGTATGGCATATCATCAACCATGTATTTTGCCCATGTAAGGCATATCATCACTACCCAGGTGAGCAGCCGTGCGGTCATGCACTTTATGACTTACTCTATTTTGTGGGGCCATCATAAATGTTTATGGCTTGATTATGATGCTGGTGTACCACTAAGGCCATGAGAAAGAGTCAGAGTTGAGGAACAGTTGGGTATATAAACACCGCATACTTCACCCATCAGTACCTCAGCTCTCAACCCGCTCTTCTTCTCCGCTCAATCAACACCAAAACCATGGCTTTCAACGGCAAGTGGGAAACCGAATCTCAGGAGGGATATGAACCATTCTGCAAACTGATCGGTGAGGCTCTTCTTCTTTTAAACTACTGTTTTTGGCTTTGCTGATGGTAACAACTGAGTTACTAATTTCAGAGAATTTCTGGCCTCTAAGCATTGGGTCAAATATGAACGCATATTTGAGTTGGACTTGTTCATATTTGACTTGTTGTTGGGTTACGACAACCCAGTATTTAGACTGTAAGCTACTTTGGACAAGAAAATGTTGTCTTTTCTTCTGGGGTGTTTCCATATCATTTGCAAGCAGGTCTTTTGAGCCTACACAAAAAAAAAACATTATTGGCAACCTTTCCACTGCATATATGGAGTTTTTGCTTTATGTTTAAAAAAACATTTAAAAATTGTAGAAAAAATAAATATACATTTTAGTTTACAGTTCTTTTGATTATTAGAATGTTCATCACAATAAAACATGCAATTATTTATTTTCTTTGCGACTTAGTCCCTTTATTATTCAGGGGTCGCAACAGCAGAATGAACTGCCAACTTATCCAGCATTTGTTTTACGCAGCGCATGCTTTTCTAGCTGCAACCCATCACTGGGAAACACCCATACACTCTCATTCACACACTTACATTACGGCCAACTTAGCTTACCCAATTCACCTAAAGTGCATGTTTTTGGACTGTGGGGTATATGAGTGACATGTTGTGTATTTTTTGGTCTTTGTTATTAACCACTACATAAACTGTAGAAAATTCTGGAATGCTTGGTAGAGCAGACGTAAGTTTACACTCTTTCTTAATACACTTGGCAGAGTTTTGCTAAAGTGGGCTGACAAAAACTAAAAGTGAAATAAACTCTGTTTACTACATTTAGATTTTATATTAAATATTTCAAAATAACATTTACTGTCTGAAAATCAAAGCCATAAGTTTAAAGAGGTTTCAAAAATTATTGAAATATGAAGCTGATATCTAAAAAAATAGCTTTCAATGAGTTTTTTTTAATTATTATTTTCGTTTCCGCTATTTTGGCTTCTTTCCAGTGCCGTTAAAGTTATTTAAATCACTTCTATGATCTCTATATGTACTATTATTTTGTTGAATCCTTTACCAGATGTACCAAAGTAAAAATCAATTACTTTAAATCATAGGTCTCAAACTGAATTCCTGGAGAGCCGCAGCTCTGCACTGTTTTGCTCCAACCTTAATCAAATACAGCTAATCCAAATAATCAAGGTATTCAGAAAAGTCACAAACACCTTCATTAGCTGCATCAGCTGTGTTTGATCAGGGTTGGAGCAAAACTGTGCAGAGCTGCGGCTCTCCACGAATTCAGTTTGAGACCTATGCTTTTTGTTTTGAAAAATCAATCCCCCATTATTTTTTCATAACTTAAATGATACTAGTTTATGCCCTACTATCTTGGCATTTTATTTAATTTTAACTGAGCTCTGTCAGCTGATGTTCATGGGCCTCACGTGTGTTTATTGTTGCAGTTCAATAAAACCTCTGTGAAATTAAGACAGTACCTGAAGTGAACTATGATTGCTCTTCTTCTGCACCTCAGGTATCCCTGATGATGTCATCGCAAAGGGCCGTGACTTCAAGCTTGTGACAGAGATCGTCCAGAACGGAGATGACTTCACATGGACCCAGTACTACCCCAATAACCATGTTGTGACCAACAAATTCATCGTAGGCAAAGAGAGCGACATGGAGACTGTAGGAGGGAAGAAATTTAAGGTGTGGCAGAAAATATACTCATAAACGTAAAGATGACAAGAAAAGCTAAAATAAGCTTGCATAGTGATTCCATAGAAAAATCTTTTTAGGTTCCCCAAAGAATTTTTAAGTGAATATTTCCCTAATTTCACAGTGGAGCTATTGTGAAGAAGGAATTTATAATCTAAAGAAATGTTGTCATTTGTTTTAAGTAAAAGGTTACATCAATGTCAAAGGTTCTTCAATAAAATTGCCAGGGTTTTCAAGGGGACAGTTCACCCAAAACTGAAAATACTCTTATTATTACACACCCTTCACTTATTTCAAACCGGTTTGACATTCTCTTCTGTTTAACATTTAAAACTATATTTTGTTTTATAAACGTGTACCCACTGATTTCCATAGTATTTGGGGCTTTTTTCTGCTATGGAAGTCCATGGTGTCAGGATTTGAGCATTCTTCAGAATATCTTCTTTTGTATTCAACAGAAGAAAGAATCTCATAAAGGTTTATAACCACTTTATGGTGTAAATAGTGAATAAATTTGTATTTTTAAATGAGTTATCCCTTTAGCGGTCTTATTATATATATATATATATATATATATATATATATATATATATATATATATATATATATATATATATATATATATATATATATATGAGAACCTTTTAAATTTAAACTGAATATATAACGCCTAATTGTGACCGATGTCATATTAAACCAGCTACAATATCTCATATGTTTTGGTCTTGTTCAAAATTGAAGGATTTCAGGCAGCTATTTTTAAAAAATTCTCGGCTGCATTAAATACCTTATAAAACCTGAGGCTATAATTTCAATATTTGGTATTACACCTCAGTTCTTATGTTTTATTAAAGTAAGAAAATCTGATTGCCTGTGATATGCTTTTAGTTGTAGGTTAATATAATACTCAAATGGAAGGAAAAAGAAATCACTAGATTTGCACAGATTTTCAGCTGATCAAGTATTTATTCAGTTGTGTGTAAACGTGTGTACATTTATATTTATTCAGTTTTAAATTCAATTTCAGTAATATTACTGACTAATATGAAAACATTCATATGATTTACTTATAATACAGTTTGTAAAGTAATAATTTCTGTTTTTTAGTAGATATATGGTAGAAATATTATATGCAAGACTTTCTTTGTTTACCAAATAAACGGATCTAATAGGATTCACATTGTAAACATGAAATAAAAGTAAAAAAAGTTTTATTTTTATTTAACTTGTTAAGTTTTTAGTTACGATACACCCAAAATTATTCCGCATAAATCTGCAGATTTTTCACAATATTCTGTGCAGAAATAGCAAAAAAAAAATGTCCGCAGATTCTGTCTGGCCCTTTAAGAAATGGCTTATACATCCACACCACCTGACATTAGAAAAAATAAAATATACTGTAAAAAGTTATACTGATATGTTTTTTTTTTTCACATTAGCGCCCTGTTTTAGATTACATAAAGAAGATAGACCCTTTAATTATTGTAGAAGAGTAAAAACTTTTGTTATTTTTTATTACTCTCTTTTTTCTTTTATTTCCTTTCCTTTTATATATGAGCAAAATAACTTTTGCTTAATATTCTTATTTATTTGTATTTAATTTTAAGATTATTCTTATATTTTTAGAGAATCTAAATGTATATGTGTGCAACAGATTTAGTATGTTTGTTGTCTAAAACAAAAAGAAAAAACGGTTTGTATTGCATATTTCATATCTAACGTTCAATAAAAACACCTTTTTGGGGAATTTTTTTTTTTTAAAGAAGAAAAAAGAATTGAGGACCTTTTTACACCTTAAAACATTTCGTCCAATGGTAAATTAAAGTTTATGCCAAAAAAGAAAGTAGCCTATATTTAAGGACTTTATATCAACACTATATTGTATAAATATGAAATTTATATGCTTATAAATTGTATTACCTGATAAATGCTCACACCTGCATGTCTTCACCAGGGCATAGTTTCCATGGAAGGAGGCAAGCTGACCATAAGCTTCCCCAAATATCAACAAACAACTGAGATCAGCGGTGGAAAGCTGGTGGAGGTGAGATAAATCAGATATTTTACTACATTGAGGATTATTATAATTCTAGGGGGAAAATAGGCCGCCGCCTAGATGAATAATATATAATTTTAAATACAATTCAAATCAACGAGTTAATGAATTCGTCTCTGAGAAGAACGATGTGATTTCCTGGTCACTTTCAAAGGGTTAATCTGACGGCCAATCAGAATTAGCCTGTGCGACCAGTTTAAGCGCCAATTCATTGTTGAAATAAATAGTTTCAATCTTGGTTTGAACTGTTTTTATTGTTTTTTATATGACTTGAAATGTTTGTAACGCCTCTCCGCTTTGCTTTTCAGACCTCCACAGCCAGTGGCGCCCAGGGTACCGCTGTTCTTGTGCGCACAAGCAAGAAGGTTTAACCGCATTGTTGAGATGAATGACCCTTTTCTGCTCTGACACTCAATTTACTGAATAAAGTGTACGAGCTAAACTGATAAACGATCTCTCCGTCTTATCTTTCTAATGCATTAAGTGATTCAGTGATGAAAATGTGCATTCAATAATCTCAGCAGATGTGAAATATGGAGTCAGTTTGTTGTCAGTCTGGTGTCCACTGGAGGGCAGTCCTACACTGACCCGCGGGCAGATCTTCAACAAAGACACGAGGCTCCATGCTAAAACCGCTAAAACACATTAATGATAACAAAGACAGGAGGTTGGGCTTGATTTTACACGGTACATTTTTTTTAGGATTAAGACATTATTAAGCATCAGATAATAAATAAAACATAATAAATAATACAATAAAAGAAAAATTCAAAGCAATCTTTGATTTAAAAAAGCCTAGAAATAAGTATGAGGTTTTTCAAGGTGGCATAGAAAACTAAATAACATAGAATAGAATAAAATACTGAAGAAAAAAATTATATCAGGCCTTGCTTTTCAGGGATTTTGTAAGATTAAGATATTAGTCGACAATAAAAACAAATAAAATACTAAAAACGATTACAAAGAAGGTGGTATTATGTATAAAAAAGGATGATTTTTTCATCAAGAAATAAATAATAATCACATAATAACAACAAAAACAACATATAAAAATATGGCAAGGACCATGGCAATCTTAACAAACAATAAAGAATAAATAGGATAGTAAAAAAAAATGATTTGGGGCTTCATTAGAGCCAAAGTATAAATATTATTTTCCGCCCACTGGGAAACATGCATGCACACTCATACACTATGGACAATTTAGCTTTCCTAAATTCACCACGTCTTTGGGGGAAAACAGCACCCGGAGGAAACCCATGGAAACACGGGGAGAACATGCAAACTCCACACAGAAAGGCCAAATTTTAAATATATATATATATATATATATATATATATATATAATATATATATATATAATATATATAAACTTATAAAATTTATATATTATAACTTATATATTATAACTTATATATATATATATATATATATATATATATATATATATATATATATATATATATATATATATATATATATATATATATATGCTTAAGAAAATATTCGTAAACATAAAATACACAAGTAATACTAAAAAGGAAGGCTTTAAAATGATTCAGTAAACAAATAAAAAATTTAATATAAAACATGCCACTCCAGATAATACTATATTTCAGTAAATATATGTAAACAATAAGAACTGAATATCCTTTATAGAGATCACTATACCCAATGAAGAACTGTAACAATAACAGTGGAGGGCGAGCTTTAGTTTAGAAGTGCCCCCTCCTGATAATTAAGAAAAAGGGTGGCAGCCCCCTCCCCTCCCCCTCTCTGCTTCGCAAACAAAGGTTGTGAAAATGATCCATTACCCAAACTGCCCCTTTGCCAGCTCTCAACCCCCCTCATCCAATTCGTGTCTCTTCATCATCACACCAACTCAGACATGTGGCCCACCTCCATGTACCCCCCGCCAGCCTCCAGCACAAAGACAGGGCCTCTCTCAGTCTGCTATCCACCCAATCTCTTTAATTAAACTGATAAAACCGCCCTAATCCGTAACGGTGCAGTCAGATCCACCCTATCCTACAATTATTCTGAAGAGATGTTCACCAAAAACTGAAAAATCACTTATTTCCTCAGCCTCAAGATATGACTGATGTCCTTCAGATGAACGCAAAGATTTTTAGAAAAACATAATGCAAGTGTATGGATGGACTCAACAAAGGTGATGATTAAAAGAACTCATACTGCTGAACCCTTTTTATAGTAAAAGAAAAGTTATATGAAGTTTCTTCAGTCGTGATGTTTAATCATTTACTCATTTAATTCCAAACCTGTACACCATAAAAAGAGACTTTACTTAAAATAAATTGAGTAAATAAAATGACTTAAAAAAACGTTGACTTCAAAAGTTGACTTTACCAAAAAATTTAAGTATTTTTACCTAATAATGTTGCACTGTAAATGCGATTATTGAAAATTTGAACTCATTGCCTTTAAAATATTAAGTAAAAAATAATGTCAACATAACAGTTCAAAATTACAACAGAAACACATGCATTTTAAGTAAAATCAATTTGTCATTTTTAAGGCAGTGAGTTTACTCAGTGAGTTTTTTTTAAGTACACTAACAATTATATGCTTAAGTTCTGACAGCATTGTTTTAGATCATTGTAATCATGTTATAACTAAATTTCATAGGTTATGCAAGCTGTTTTAAATTAGTTTAACATAATATAAGTTAAATAAACTCATAAAGTTAATTTGATTCAGCTTAAAATGTAAGGCAACTAGGGTTTGTTTTTACAATGTAATCGCTCTTTATAGTGTTATTTGCAAATGTTATTTGACAACTATTTACTTTTTAGTCAACTAATTACTTTTTAGTGTGTAATTTACATTTTTTGTTGAACACAAAAGAAGATATTTCGAAGTATGCTGATTATCAAATATGTCTGGTTCTTAAAGTGAATGAGAGCCAAAATATGAAATATAATGTCCAACAGTCAGAATTATTAGCCCCTCTGAATTAAAAATAGCTTAAAGGGGCTAATAATATTGACCTGAAAATGGCTTTAAAAAATTTAAAACTGCTTTTATTCTAGCCTAAATAAAACAAATAAGACTTTCTCCAGAAGAAATAATATTATCAGACATACTGTGAAAATTTCCTTGCTTTGTTAAACATAATTTGGAAAATTTTTCAAAAAGAATAATTCAAAAGGAGGCTAATAATTCTGACTTCAACTGTATTTCTAAATATTCTAGTCATTCAAATATTTTGGGTGAGTAAACGATTACTGTAAAAAAATAAAATAAAAATAAATATATATATATATATATATATATATATATATATATATATATATATATATATATATATATATATATATATATATATATATATATATTATTATTAATTAGTCCTGACAGCATATGATTATAGGTCATTTTAACTTATTAAACTAAGCTAATCATGTTCTAACTTAATTTCTTAAGTTGAAAAAGCTTTTTAAAAGGGCACCTATTTTACCCCTTTTCAAGATTTCAAGATTTATGATGAGTCTTTTTTGTCTCCAGAATGAGTCTGTAAAGTTTTAGCTCAAAATACAGATTATTTATTATCTTTCAGAATAATGAATTTCTGCTCTGAACACAATGTAGCTGTTATTGTGGCCTGTGCCTTTAATTCTAGTTATCTCTAGACATAAAGGCAGCAGATCTCACATAACTTTGTGAGAAATACTACAGTAAGAACTTTCCCAATAATTATTTGATGTATTTGTTAACACAGAGTTAATTCAAGCCTTTCTGGAATGATGAGTCACGCACAATGTCATTACAAAGTTCACCCCACGATGTGCGTGAAAAAGATACACATTAATATCCACTGCTGTATGGATATCTGTTATGTTAATGTGCAAAATAAACCAGATTTTGTCCACAATCCGGGATTGAAGTGTCTTCTTTTATAATTATACTGACATGCGGCTGTGGTGGTAAAGACGGTAAAACCGCTGTTATTCATTACAAACATGCACTATTTAAAAACATTTTAAACTTGTAAAACTCATTTTGATCACATTCGCTGATGATGATCACAAAGAGTTGCTTTGTGCACGTCCTGTATTGTTGATATGATTATATGCGTTACAAAGACATGTTAACACACAGCTGTCAATCAATTTGGTGGGCGGGGAAACTGCAGTAGGCCTCAAAATGAAGGGATTTAGGTCCTATTTTAACATCAGGAAATAATAAAAAAAGGACTTATTGTCTTTATATCACCCCAGTATGACTGTGGACACACTATACCTGCACACAGTTCTGTTCAATCAGCTTACAAAAGATGATTTTCATCATAAGTGCCCTTTAAGTCAGTTTAATATAATATATTATATAAATCAAATATAATATATTAGATTAAATATTGAGTCCATTGAATATAAGTTCAATGGACTGAAAAGGTTAATTTGATTCAGCCTAATTTAAGGCAAACAATGTTTTACAGTCTACAGAACTAAAGTATTTCCTTTTAAATCCCAATGTACACTTTTTACATAAAGATAAACTGAAGTACGTTGATAAAAAAACAACCATTGACTTCTATTTTTGGTGATACTATAGAGTTAAATAGCTGCTTTTCTTCCAAAATTTTTCAGAACATCTTGTTTTGTGTCCAACAATGAATAAAACCTAAAAGTCTGGAACCTTTTGAGTCTGAGTAAATGAGGAAATTGTATTTTTTAGGAGGTGAACTATCCCTTTTATAATACATGTGAAATCTAATTTTGTTTAAATTAAAGCGCACACTGTTATTCTTTAGGTGAGTAAATCTGTGCAAGTCTAACCATTTGCTCATACGTTTGAAGTGTTGGTGCTTCTCTGTTGATGTCTGGCGGCTTTAGCCATAATATTGTTAACTTTTGCTTACCATTAGTTTACAAGTAGAAAATGATGCGCAAAAAGAAAGCCCTGCATCAATATTTCATTTCAGTTAGAGGTACATCAACATACTGAAATAAATGCCTCAGCAACTTCTGGTTCACATGGACCCATTTTAATTGTGAACAAGTAAAGCTAATCACCATTAAACTAGTACTGAAGGTTCCTTCAAGTTCCTTGAAAAAACACAGTCTGTTGTGTCTTAACCTGAAGCAGACTATTTCCATGTTTCACATGACAAAACAAACTCCGTTAACCCCAGTGAAAGCATATGTACACTCTATAAACATTAACCCCCACATAGCACATCATGTACCATTCACCATATAGAAAACATTAACTGTGCAAAAACTATGAAGGGTGTGATGCTTCAGATTTAAGAGAATATTTAAAATCTGATGAGAAGTTGAAGTGCAGAGTGATATTATCAAAATTGTTGAATGTTTATATTTATTTCTAAATGCAAATTTGGATATAGTTTGGGATCATACTATAGTTTAGATAAACCTATATATCCATATAAATCTTTTCATTTTGGTGTCATGGGTTCTTTAAAGGGCACCTATGATGAAAATCTACTTTTGTAATCCATTTGGACAGAACTGTGTGCAGGTATAGTGTGTCGACAGTTAAATTGCAGTGATGTAAACACAGAAAAGTCTCTTTTTTTATTTTTCTTCCTTTTAAAATAGGACCCAAATCTTAGTGATTTTGAGGCTGACCGCAACGTGACAAGAGTATGGTTTTCCACACCCACTGAATTGATTGACAGGCACCAGGTTTCTATATGTAAACACATTCACAGAACAGTTTTTTGGCTAATAAATTTGGATTAAAATATTTGTTACAACTCTGAGATTTTTATAAGTTTAAAAAGTTTTTAAATCAGCATGTTTGTAATAGAGTAAAATCACTATGTAATTCTTAACTGCTATAATCACCACAGCCATATGGTGTCAGTAATATATATATATATATATATATATATATATATATATATATATATATATATATATATATATATATATATATATATATATATATATATATATATATATATATTGATAAAGACAGACATACAGACAGGCAGACATACATACATGCATACATACATACAGACAGACAGATATGGGTCTGTGTACTGCAAATGGTATTTGTGTGAGACTCATCATTTCAGAAAGGCTTGAATAAACTCCATAAATATATAAAATAAACTTACTTGCCATTTTTGACTAATAAGCTGTATTTCAGCTTCACCAGAGTCTGTCTCTATCCCTGACTGCTGTTTATCTGACGTAACGCATGAGTGCACAATGTAGCAGTGAGCGGGGATAAAGCAGCTCATTTGCATTAAAGTCACAGGCTACAAAGGAGCTACAACATATTCAGACACCAATATGGGCAGATTCTGAAGGCTATAATAAATCATCAGAAGATTATTTTGAGCTGAAACTTTACAGACAAATTCTGGAGACACCAAAGGCTTATCTAACATCTTGTAAAAGGTGTAAAATAGGTGCCCTTTAAAATGGTCTTAAAAGGGACAGTTTTTCAAAAATGAAAATGCTGTCATCTTTCACTCATCCTCCACTTATTTCAAACCTGATAGTTTTATTTTCTTTTGGAACACAGGAAGTTAATCTAAAGGATGTTAGAAAAAAAAAAAAACATTGACTTCCATAGTATATTTATTCCTACGATGGATTTTAATGGCTGCTGTTTTCCGTCATACTTTAGGTAAAAAGTATGAGAGTTTTAAGAAAGACACTCATTTAGTTTAAACCCATTTGAGTGTGAGAAAAGGTAAAGTTTTGGGTGAACTTACCCATTTGGCCTGATGGCTATGTTTGTAGTACTCTATTCACCTTACTCTGGAATGCAGAGGTGTGCTCTGTTCTGTGATTGTTTTAGAACATCTGACTCATTTTCCCATACATGCGGGAAAATACTAAGCATAATAAATGGCAGTAAATGGTTAAACTACTCTCTCTACAAAAAATTGACTATGAAAATACAAATAATATAATAAGAAAAAACAAGTTTAAAACTAGTGGTATAAAAACCTGTTTTATGGCTAAAAATCAATGGGAGTGAATGAGACAGGAAGTCTCAAGCCAATAAAGTTCCAATGGCTGAGCCCAACTCGCATGTGAAAGAATAAGGTCAATACTTCAGCATTAAGGTCTAACATATTATCCACAATCACAATGCCATCTGTAGTATTTTAATATTTGTATAACTACCAACTTGGTTAATGAAAAGGATAGTTCAAGCATGATTTTCATGATTTTCTTTCTTCTGTTGAACACAAAAGATGATATTCTAAAGAAAGTTGCTGGGATCCTTTGACTCTGACAGTCATTGTGGCAACAATTTTTTAAAACATCTTTTGTCTTTAACAGAAGAAAAACTAAAATGGTTTTGAAGGGTCAGTAAATGATCACAATTTTCATTTTTGGGTGAACAACCGCTTTAAAAACCATAACAAGTACAGCTTTAGGAGATCTGTCCTTTCCAATTGTCAAGTTTCTTTGTCTTCTGCACTATCCTTTTCCTTCAAACACTAAGAGAAAAATCACACTTCATCCATTACTCCAGCTTCACTGTAGCCATTGTCGACTTCTCTTTGAGCCGAGAGCTTTTATCTCCAAAACGATCAGTGGTGCTCAGTTGGATGCGCTTTATTTGTTTAGTGGTGTTTAGTGACAGGAAGAACCACCATGTGGGGCAGGAATCTCACCCTTTGTCTTTAGTCCAGCATGTTACATGCGGGGAGAAAGGGGGAGGGCAGTGGTATTTGGGGTGGAGTCAAATGAACACGACCCCCGCCCCCCCCTTCTTTCCCCAACACTGAAGACCTTTTCATGTGCAATGAGTCCAGACATTCATATGAAACAACTCGCCCAGAGCCATGCAAATCCGATGTCTATTCAAGATGCACGATTCACACATAAACCAAACACAGGCATTTGTCCTTTTTTCCATTTTATTTCTGAGGTCTTCATCCAATTTACACCTGCTATTTCATTCCCTGCCCAGCACAGGCTTTTAAATAAACCCATTAGATCACTGAATGAGCAGAACAATGTTCTCTAGTCTATTAAGGTCCAGAGATTCAGGAGACATTGGTTGCAATGTGCAACATTTTCTTGGTTGAAAAATAATCACTGCCTGTAAGCAGTAATAGAATGCTGAAACAAACCAAACAAACAAAAAAACAACAACTAATAACTAGGTTATAAAAAAGTAGTGGTACAAAATGAAAAAGTAACAACTAATGATTACATATTGCACACACAGAGGCTTCAACAAGAAAGAGACTTGAAATATCAAACAGTGCGTGTCTGTTACAGTGAACACAGTTCTCTACCTATACAAAACTCTGGACACAAAGGAAACTAAGTTCTGGATCAAAAAATACAAAGAAGCACTTGAAAGATCTGACCAAACGTATGACGACGAGCCCTGCAGAAACAGCACATAAATGGCAGTACATTGAGGTAGTTCAAAGTTCAGGACTATAGGAGAAAGATTTTGATCCAAAGCCCAGTAAAGTGGTTGAAAAAAAGCTTGTCATTCAGCAGGACGTAAAGCAGACACTTTGGTCTTAAGGCCAGTCAACAAAAGAATTAATTGTGTAGTCTAAGAACCTTCTGAAAATAAGGACAATAAGAAAAGGAAAGTAAGCTTGTTTGGTTAAATCTTATCTTTAGTTTACAATAATAAAATATTTTGGACTGAATGTTGCTTAAAAATATCCTGTTTGATTAACGGAAATGAGAAAACGGGACTTGAATCTGGAACTATAGGTATGACGCTACAAGCACGTGGGAATGGTGCAACCACATAGCAGTGAGGCTAAACTAGTTACTAGCATGACCTTGGAGGTAAATGTGAATGACAGTGTGAGAGTGAGGTATTCTTTACGAGCCACAGTGTTTGATGGGAAGAGGTACGGCATGATGAATTCATCTTCGTAGCACACGGCCGAACCTAGCAGAGCGATCATGGCTACTTTTCCCTGTGGGGAGGAGGAACTAGTAAAGCATGGAAAGGAGGGGCGCACAGATGCCTCAGTCCCCCGGGGCTTCTCCCTCCATCTGCCTGCGGGAAATGAAACCTCAGCATAACGTCGACCTTCTCTACAGACAGCAAATCGGTTTTGAACCGATGCGGCAAGACGTGAAGACAAAAACAAAAGGAGCGACTTCATACAAACATCAGCTGGTTCAATGGTATGTTGTGTGAACATAGTAAAGACATCTGTACATCCCTGATATGTGGCATGTCACTGTAAACAAGACCAGAAGGGAGACAGGATTCTTGGTCATAAAGCCATCAGTTCATTTAAAAGGCAGCAGCATTAAAGGACCCTACAGCAAATCCAGTGTGAAACTTCAAGGACTTGTTGTAAAATGCTGGTGGGATGGAATGCGGATCTTCATGATTTCTTAAGGCTGAACGCTAAAAAAAAAGATTCTCAAATAATCTTTTCTCTTTTGTTGAGGTCAATTGATGCCGCTTTTCCACCAGTTCTGGACCGGTGTCCAAATTGAAACCAGGCTGTGCAAATTCTAATAGTTTAAGACCCTTGTTCTAGACTGGCCCCTGAAATCTAACTGAAATCTCAGGTAGATGGAGAGTATATTCAGCTTCCTCACCCAGAACCAACTTGGGCTTCCACTTACAGAAAGTAAAACGGATTTTTCATCAACTGACATCACAGATGTCCTTGTTTGAGAACAGTAAGGTTTCAGGAGAGCTGTCCAGAACCAATGTTTGCGGCTCAGAGTTTTGTTTCAAGAGGCCTTCAAACAAAGGAAACTAGTGACTTCAATATGCGGAGAGCGAGCTTCAATTCTTTGCTCTGAAACGACTTGCTTTTTAAATTAAAGTAGAGAGAAACCCACTATCCTAACATCACAGGCACCAACAGGGGAAGCAAACCCCCCTCTCACCATAACAAGTTCCCTTGTTTGAGAGAAATAATGGTTCTGGGGCCAATCTGGGAGCAGGATCACTGGCCACAAAATGAGAACCTAAGATGTCTCAAGGTGGAGAGAGGGTTCAGCTCGCACGCTTGAAGGCTTAGTTTAACCATTTCTGTATCCATTCAGCTGATCTCTGGGTCTGACGGGAGCACTTTTAGCTTAGCTCAGCATAACTAATTAAGATTAGACCATCAGCTATTTTCTAGGTAGCCTAGAAATTATACTCTCGGGTTTAATCATCTAGGGCAGGGGTGTCCAAACTTGGTCTTGGAGGGCCAGTGTCCAGGATAGTTTAGCTCCAACTTCCTTCAAAAGACCTCCCTGTTTTTTCTAGTATACCTAAAAAGAGCTTGATTAGCTAGTTTAGGTGTTTAATTGGGGTTGGAACTAAAATATGCAGGACACTGGCCCTCCAGGACACCCCTGATCTAGGAAATTTGTTGCAATACCATGGCTGCATTAGACACAATAAACTTATGACTTGCAACTTCAGTCTTGGTATGCAATTTGACTAAAGAATAGCCCTGCTTTAAATGGGACACTTTTTGAAACTCTTTTTTGGAAATTAAGCCAGATGCTAATAATTTATCTGAGTCCATGACTTATGCCAAGCTAAATGTGTTCCCACCAGACCCAGAGATTGGCTGAATAGATTGAAAATAATGGTTTGATCCTCAACTGTTTAACTCTAGTGGACTTCGAATACGAGTTAAAGGAACCCTATATATGCTAGTGTTCTATTAAAATCACATTGTTTGGCCACTAAAAGGGTGCAAAACCCACTCTCCCCGACTGACCTCACATGTTCCCTCATTCAAGAGCAGCAAGGTTTCAATTGGGAACCAGGATAAGCGCAGCCTCTGCCAGAGCATGGGCTCCAGCTCTTGTGGAAAAGCAGTAACAGTCCAATTTGTGGCACAGCACTGGAAGAAGGTCCTCACTTGGCTAAATAGTCTTAAAAAATAGACAACCCCAGAGTTCATTAAAAACCCCAAAAGGAAGCATCAAAACCAAGTTCAAATGTCAGTTAAGTTAATACTATCACTTCAGTGGGATCCACTCGACTGTTGTTCTTCTGTTTAGAAAGTCTTCGTCGGCGTCCTGGACGAAGCCCCTCTGAGACAGCTGAGGCGGAGAGGTTGGAGGACGGTGGCAGCCCCAGGTTAAGTTTGTCCTCCCGCTCCTGGCGTCACCTGTCGAAGCAACTGGCTGTGAAGCTGTGGTGTGAACTTAAGTAACCGCTCCCGTAAGTCAAACCGAGGCAGTGGCGCTCGGGTGCCATGCTAACTTGCATAGAGAGAGGACCCTGGAGAGGCAAGCCTCGCAACCCTGATGCCAAACTGGGGAATGATGCAAACGAGCTAGCCGGCATTGAGGCTGAAAGCAAGCCGGCTTGATGGGGCTGCAGATATTCCCGAGAGCCCACCGGTCCCAGGGCCTGGCAGTCGGCCAGCATGTGCAGCTGGGATAATGCCGGCGAGTGCTGGGAGAGCTGCGGGTAGCTGCTGGCCTGGAGGAGCAGCTGCTGGGAGCTGGAGGTGGGCTGCCTGTGCAGAGAGGGGGCGGCAGTGCTCGGGGGGACGTGAGCTTGCGGCTGGAGGCTCTGGCCGGCTGAAGGGGAAGATTTGGATTTGTTGGCTTCTTTTACGTCGTTGTCGTGAGCACTGTAAGGGAAGACAAAAGAGCAAGGTGAAGTGAAGCGTGTAAGGTTTGCTTCTGGGCACACACCAACGCGAGCATATTCTGCGGTTTGCTCTTACAGTAACATGAGCTGGATGCACTGCGTCAGATGATCCCAGGAGTAGCCCGTGAGCAGGTGGAGGACAGTGGTCCAGCTGGGGGAGATCTGCAGGCAGATTCTGGACGCAGCAATGCAAGCAGCTGCCACCTGAGAAGGCCTGAAGCTCAGGAAGGCATGATCTATAACAAAGACACACACACACATACAAATATGCTACATTATACCCTCAGAGATTTTATAATGGGGCACAAGAGGCATTAAGCTTAACTATGAAATGGTCGCAGTATCAATATGCCTATTGATTAGAAACTGATATACACACGTGACAAATTAATGATCTCATCCATACTTGAGCATATGCAGATTTCAACGTTAAGGATTTTTCTACTGGCTCTATTGAGCCAGTGGTTCAGATTTTTACTTGCCATGCCAAAATTTTCACTGGCTCCACAAAAAAGAAGTTAATAGCTTTTTCCTAGCCACATATTTTAAATACTGTGTCAAAACCAAACATAATTCAGAATTACTGTTCTTTAACTGACAATTAAAAAAACTACAATTGTGATGCAACTAAACTTAAAAAATAAATAAATAAAAAATAAAAATAACAACCATATATATATATATATATATATATATATATATATATATATCAGGGCTCGAAATTGCGACCATTTTGGTCGCATATGCGCCCGAAAATTAATCGATGCGATCTCATAATATATTTGGGCGCATTAGTGCGACCTGTTTTGATTTTTTCTAAAAACGTGCTGAATTGCTCTTCCCTGCCGCTATATTGGTTCATATTAGCTGTCAATCACTCAAGGCCTTCCGCTGTTAGATGACAGGGAGGGAGCTTTTATGACCACGGGAAATGCAAACGGCTGAAGAGTGAAAACTTAAAGCACACAGGTTTGCAAAGTGCAAACCCCACCTAAAGTTGAGGCGCAGATAAGAGCGATCATGACACGTGGTGAATATTGATCCGCCAGCTGAGATCAATCGAGTACGTGCTTTTCGGAGAAAGCGCCCGAATCTCGATGCGTTGCATTCACTGCGTGTTCAGCGCAAATGTACGCTAAAAGTCAAATCAAATACTCTACATATCTTCGCCAAAGAAGCTCGCCTTTACTAAGTTTACACTGAAAACTGCATCTCATAACAAACAGCGGTATTGCGCCGGTGCTCAACCTGCTCATAAATTGGGTCGGCTGACTCGCCTGCTTTTCCACAAACACAGAAAAATGAAAATCAGCTCAGACATTTAAATTGACACAAACTGAAACCAAAACTTTTAAAGAGTGATAGAAGTGAGACTTTACTTACTTTCTTTTGCCTATTCTTTCTTGAGGTGTATATTTTTTTTTTAGTTACTGATGACTGCTTTGCACCTTTCAGCCTTAAATTTAATTATTTATTATAATCTTTTGTTTGTTTTGTAGCAGAAATATTATTTATTAAACTGACATGCATATATATGCTGTTTAGCAGTACAAAATAAATATTTCTTACTGCAATGCTTCATTTTTGTTTGATGCAAACTATACATTTATTTTTCATAAAGTAACAGACTTTTTATAGCAGATAACTTGCATTCAAGGCAGCATGATGATGAGAAATGTAATTCATTGTTACTATTATTGTCATTTCCATCATCATTAATATTCTATAATTATTAGACATACACATTTTGGAATTATTGCACACAAATATCATGGTCATCTCAGCATTAGTTAGATAATTCTTTCTGGTTTTTGTTAGTCCTAATTGATGTTGTTTTAAAATACAATAAATCCATTAAAATACAATTTGCAGCAGTGCTCATTCATTTTTGGTGGGTGCTCCTAAATTTTTTCTGGTGCTGCTAAATTTTTGAAGTTGGGAGCACCGGTGGTACCAAGTAAAAAAAGTTAATTTCGAGCCCTGTATATATATATATATATATATATATATATATATATATATATATATTTATATATATATAAATAAAGAGTAGAGAATAAACAGACGAACCGAGACAAACTGATCAGATAGTAACTTCGGTCAATTCTCTCCGTAATATTTCAGCATGCTTTCACTTTCATATTCGAAATGAAACATATTTGCTGGTAAGAAAGACACCCTGCCCTACTCATGGTTCTCTCATCTTATAGCCATATAAATGGCAATTACACAACCATAATACACTGTGATATAGCCTGGTTCGTTAACTATAGTTTGTTGGATCGTTTTACTTTCTCACTATAAATCGATCCACTCCAGTTTGTTTCAACCAAGCCGAGACCACCACATTCAGGTAATTTCAGGCGGAATGATGTGGCGTGGACCGGAGCGTGATTCACGTATGCCAAACGAACCACACTAACTGGGCAAACGAGACCGTTTCCGAAACAAACATCTAAGTGTGAAAACACACCAAGACTGTATTTGCACGCAACTGACAAACAGTCGCAGCCAAATTAAACTTTAGAGAAAAGGCAGCACGATCCTGTCTACTGTCCCAAGTGCCATCAGGCAATCCTTATTGTTGAGCCCTGTACTTAAGCATATAGATAAATCAACTAAAAATACAGGAAACCTCATAATTGATGAAATTCTTCCACCAAATAATTTTATAGCACTTGAAAAAAGCTATTTACAATAGCAATTTTTAAAACGTATATAAGAAAATGTATATTAACAATATTAATAATATTTCAAATGGAATAAGCTAATAATTTAAATTTAATAAGCTAATAATTACATTCAATTAATTAAATGATTTAAAGGGACAGTTCAGACATTAAAACTAAGAAAGATATTAATTTCAAATCCATGCTACTTTTTACATTTTCTACTCATCAAAATATACTGAAATAATCAAACATCATAAACATTTTTAGCTTGTTTTAGCCTTTTCTTAAGCAACAAATCATATTAAAATGATTTCTGAAGGAAGACTGGAGTAATGATGCTGAAAATTCAGCTTTTATGTCATAGGAGGCGACGCAGTGGCGCAGTGGGTAGCACGTTCGCCTCACAGCAAGAAGGTCACTGGTTCGCTCCTCGGCTCAGTTGGCGTTTCTGAATGGAGTTTGCATGTTCTACCTGCGTTTGTGTGGGTTTCCTCCAGGTGCTCCGGTTTCCCCCACAGTCCAAAGACATGCGGTACAGGCGAATTGGGTAAGCTAAATTGTCCGTAGTGTATGATTGTGTGTGTGTGTGTATGTGTGGATGTTTCCCAGAGATGGGTTGCGGCTGGAAGGGCATCCGCTGCGTAAAAACTTGCTGGATAAGTTGGCGGTTCATTCCGCTGTGGCGACCCGAGATTAATAAAAGGACTAAGCCGACAAGAAAATGAATGAATGAATGAATGTCATGGGAATAAATTACATTTTAAAATACACCAAAATAGAAACATTTGGAAAGTGTTCATAATATTGCTGACTTTTATAAAGAAATAGTATTGTGTGTGTATGCTGATTACTACTGATTTTCTTTTTTTTTTTACTCTTTTAGATTAAATTAAACTAAAAAGATTTGATTTACCTTGCAAGGAAACCTCGAGGAAGTAGTGCGTGTACTTGTCCATGAAGGCTTTGGTCTTGGACAGCGAGGAGAGGGGCCAGCCGTTGTGCAGGTCTCCCTCCTGGACAGCAGCATGGAGGTAGTAGTCGATGAAGTGGGCAGGTGTGGGCATGCACAGGTTCCAGCCGAACGTCTCCAGCAGCAGCAGCTCCATTTTGATGAGGTCCCGCTTGTTGAGCGTGAGGTTCAGACTGCACATGAAGCCTAACGTGTTCAGCTGCTCCAGTTTGGGCACACGGTCTTCCTTCTCCTCAAACTTACCTGCGCAATAAGCATTAGATTGGTATTATTTTACATGCTTTGTTAATGACTTAAAATATGAATTAATGGCCTGTGAATTATCATACTTTTATTTTAGACATCACATCTGATTGATTTAGCAGTAAAGAAGACATTTTAAATACCCAAGCAAGCAGCACTGTTACCATCAAAAAAAAAAAAAAAATTATTTATCAGCATACATAGGTTGCCAAATACAAAGGCTTATCAATAAAGCAATATTTTTACTTGAATGCATCACAATATTCTAGGGTTTAACCAACACACAACTGGTGTTTGACTAGCTTAGAATTGTTTAACAAGATTTTCATTTATTGGCTTAATAGTTTCAGTTATCGGCTTCCAAATGTAAAGTGTTTCGGTATCTGCCAAAAAAAAAAATCATATTACATCACACCAGATTGTTTTAGACTTCATTTTGTGGTAAAAATAAATTTGAAATACTCAAGCAGCACTATTAGAAGGTAGACCAATAAAAAAGTATGTATTTATAAGCATATACAGGTTGCCAAAGACTTATCAATATCGGGGAAAATGTCCACATGGATCATTATAATATCCCAGGGTTTAACTAACACACAACTGGAGTTTGAATAGCTTAGTATTCTTTTCCCAAGATTTCTAATTATCAGCTTAGTAATATCAGTTATTGGCTTCCAAATGTAAAGTGTTAATGACTTAATCCATAAAAAGTATTTTTTTTAAGTTATTGACTCATTTTTTAATTTCGCAATTGGTGTTTAGTATAAATAGGGCTGCACAATATATAGTTTCAGCAATGATATCGCAACGTGCGCATCGGCAACAGTCACATCACAAGATCCGCAATGTTGAGTCTGAATTATAGTTGACCAGAAGCTACAATACACATCTGATTTGTACAGTCACTGCTAAGTTTACCCATAATAGAGTGAAAGCTTATCATTTGCATGTGTTTTTAAGACCTTGGAATGAGCATTTTAAGAGAGTTTGGACACACACACACACACACAAAATAAAAAAAACGGATGATGTTTGGAAGTGTAGCAAAGATTAATTGTATTTAATTATTTATATGATTCATGACTAAAAAAAAAAAAGTAGTTTTTTTACTTAAAACTTTTGTCTTGTTTCTAGTCCAAATATCTGCATTTCAAAGCGAGCGAAAAGAAGATTTAAAAAAAAAAAAACTTATTTTTTTCTGAAAACAAAACATTATTTTTTACTTGAAGTACAAGAATTTTTATATAGAAACAAAAAAACAAGAAACAAGACAAAGCAAACAAAAAATCTGTTTTTTTTGCAATTGTGATCATTCAGTTTCTATAACTGAATATTGTCAAATAAAGCTATTCAAACTATTTGTATATCGCAATATTTATCACAGAAAAGTAAAATATCGCAATATAATTTTTTTTTCTAAAAATGTATATCAAGATTTCTATTTATCACTAATTATATCGGTTATCAGCTGTTTGACTAACTCAAAATTAGTGATTGATTGGTTAGAATAGAAAAGCATATCAAGACTTCTAATTATAGATGTAAATGTATTGCTCATCGGTATTATATATACACATATCAGTATTGGCCAAAATGTCCATATCGTGCATCTCTACTTTTTAGTGCTTTTGTGAACATCTGGCCTCGATGTATAGAACAAAGTAAACCACTGGCGTAGATATCCACTTCAAAAAAAAAAAAAAAACCCATTTCATAATTACCACAGACCAATGGATAGTTTACTTCGACAAGCTATTTCAAGCATCGTTTGAGCCTAATTTTTTATTAAAAAATAACATCACACTAATTCATTCTTCGATTTCACAAAGTAAACTGGGTCAATAACAGATATAGACTTCTCCTTCTTAAATAAAGCCCATAATTACCAGATATCATCAAGATCTGAGACATTCTTGATTAAGAACAATGCATCTCTGTGCTGCCCTCACATACTTCAGTTTCCTCTAAAAGGATCAGCATTGACATCATTAAGGTGAGGCATGTTGTGAATTCCTGTAATGAGAGAGCGCAGCTGCCTCATGGTGAATTAGACCTTCTCCGCTGAATTCCTTTCTTCTCTGGCTTTTCCCTTCCTGAGTCTAGGTGCAAGGTGTTAATATCTTTTCCCTAAAGTCCAAGACTCCCTCGTATTGCCTCCCCCGCTGTCTAATGCTCCAACAATAAGGGCCCCATGACCTCTGACTTCTGCGGCTCTTGCTAGAGCGCTCAGAGCGGCCCTCGGACCACTGACGTTTGAGGAGGAGACGCAGTTAAAACTAAAGAGAAACCAAGGTCACACCTTCATTCCTTCAGACTCTCAATAAACCAATGCCATAAACACACGTCACGTCTCCATCATATTAAATGATGAAATGTACACCTCAATGATCACTATCAGGTTTTATGAGACAGAATTGATGTGTTTGATTCTTTACCATACTTGATGAATAAAAGCAGATGTAAATGTACATCTTTAGAATAAGCGGTCCTGTATAGACAGTGACTGTGAATCATTAATTGAGCATTGAAGGATCACAGTGCACCCCACAATACATATGACTTTTGATTTTAAGTCTTTATACTGCCACAAACATTCAAATCAATAGGTTTTACAAATTTCTCAGCAAATTTTAATTCAAAACTAAATATAATTCAGCATGATTACTAAATTTATAATTAATAATAATAATAATAATTAATAATAAGCACACATAAACCTTTTCACATTTTATATTGTGTAACACTGAATGATGGAACATTTCATCCATATTTTAAAATTCTATTTTCATAAAAGTGTCACTATTGCTCTTAATGTTTTTAAAGTATAAAAAATTAATTTGGTAAAATTAATTTGAGTTGCAGACACAGAAATGAGACATTTGTCATAAATGCTATTGCAAAAACGACTTCAAACCGATTTAACTGTCTTGACTGCAAACCCAAAACACGCGAGTCCTTTGTTCTTCTATCAGACAACGCTGAATGATCTCAAAGCGTATTTAAAAAGAGCAATAGACACGTCTTGCCTTTTTATCCCATTAAATTCAAACACGCAAATCAAACACAAAAGAAATGACTTTCTGTATTATGTTGCTGTAGATTCAGAAACACTGGTGGACCTTCGCAGTCAGAAATGCCCGGCTGACACAAAAGCCACTGCGCCATGCCTTTTCTTAATTATCTGGGGTATACAAATTCTTCATTAGCATCAGACCTCAGGGGGGCATCTGTCACACTAATCTGAATATCAGAAACCCTGCTGAGTGTTTCAGTTCAAACATGCCCCTCCAGGGTCCTCAAATCCTCAGCCCTCCCTCCCGCTTCTGAGGAAAAAGACCAGCCTGCATTTGACATGCTACTCTACACCGTTTGCTGCAGATGCATACAGGACAGATACGCCATTATTTCAACACTTGCAGATAGGGAGTTTTGGGTTTCATCCCATTTTGTTTTAAGCACAGCTCCAAAATGCAAAGAATACACCAATAGCACTTTAAAATGAGGATTATTTATTAGCAATGATGTCTCTGTTAAAAAATGCTAGCATAAATAGAAGCTTTTCAATCCACCATGAATCCTAAATAGGTTCTTTAGAGGATTAAATGTTTTTTATTTTGAACTCGTGTGTGTCCATTTTTAAAACGTTGGTCCATAGAAGACAAAAATGTCAATTTCAAAATGATAAGAGCATAATAATGACTTCTTATACTGCAGAATATTATTGAAATGACTATTTTCATGGACATATTTCTTTACTAGCCTTGATGGACACTATAATATGATTATTATTCCATATAATAAACGCCAAGCAGATTTTATCATTACATTAATATAGTATGGGATAAGTCAATCAACAGAAACATTCATTTTGATGTTTTTTTTTTTTTTTTTTGTGCAGCAAAACACCAAAACAGTATATAAATATAAATGCTTGATGCATCACATACACTAATCAAACCCACATAATTAAAAGTACATCATTTTAATTAGAGATAAAACAATTTAAACTTTTTGGCAGATTAGTGACCTGCTAGAATCCTTTTTTTGCTCAATGCAATTTCATTTAAAGTACTTTAATTGACAGCACATGCAAAAAGTATACATAGTTTTCAATATTTTTATAAAATGAATTAACATTGCAGGCCCATAGGCAGCCTGGTTAAAGGGGTGGTTCGTTTTTCTCAAAAAGCTGTTTTTTTGCAGTTATTCACCTCATTTTTATGCAATTATAAGGTTTAAACAATCCATTTAGTGACATTTTTTATTATTAGGTTCATCTTAGGTCAGACAATAAAATGTACATAATATTGATATACATCATATACATATCGATATACGCACTGATACAATTCACCAAGCAAGAAATTATTAGGAAAGCATAATTATACACTAAATACGTATAGAAATAAAAGGTAAAATACAACACACACACATAACATAATAATAATATTAATAATAAAAAGCAAACAAAAGAATAAATAAATAAATAATTAAATAATACAAAGAAAAGAAAGAAAAAGAGACAATTAAGATATATAGTTGTCTTTGTTTTATTGCAAACCGAATCTTTTCCATTCGAAGAGCATGTAAAAAAATCAAAAATCCATTGCTGATAGGAAAGGGCAGCTGCTGACTTACAATTCATAAGAATAAGTCGTATAGCTAGTAAAGTTGCAAAGGCTACATTATCGACCTTTAATGAATTTAATTCAACATTTTCTGGCAGTGCTGTTAAGGGGTTCATTTAGTGACATTTTAAGCATTATTTACAGCTGGATTAGCTTATTGGACTGTGATCAAAACCACAATTTTGATGTACCAAACATTTTCTAAAGAATTAGAATCAAGAAACACAGGGGAAAAAAAAATTATTTTAAAATACTAATTTATTACATCATTAAAAACAGCAGTAGAAAAAAAATTGCAGCCTATTGTCATTTATTTGACCAGCACATTTTATCTGGACAGCACATTCAACACATTTAGCTTTCATCAGTCAG